CTGGGGTGGGACCAAGTTTCTGCCTGCTACCAACCTAGAAGCAGACTAGCCTAGCCTTGGCAGCAGGGCTCACTAGTTGGAGTGGCCAGCCAGTGTAATTTAATAAATACACAATATTAAATTATTAATAAATCTATTGTTTATTACATTTATTTTTAATTAGAAATAAATTGACTAAATTTAATTAATACATAATTAAAAATAAATCTCAACAATCCCCCATAATCTTGAACTCAAACGCTGTCAATACCATAAATTCTGTGTAATAATGAGAGCAAACAAGAGTGCTTGCGGTCACCCAGGGGCTCAGCGCGAGCTTGGCATGTCAGCGGTAGAGAACATATGGTGAATGAATGAATGGATGGATGGATGGATGGATGGATGGATGAATGAATGAATGCTAAAATTTAACCAATTGGCAGGCCTTTACTGGCAGGCATGGTGGTGTCAGCCTGCAATCCCAGCACTTGGGAGATGGAGGCAGGAGGATCCGTAGTTCAAGATCTTGCTTGCCTACTATCAAGTTCAGGGCCTGCCTGAGCTACATGAAACCCTGCCTCAAAACAAAACAAAACAACAAAAACAAGACTTTACGGAGCAGATAGGAGCGGGCGGGTAAAGGGCACAAGACTGGCATTGATTCTGCAACTAGCTTCCCTCTGCCTTTTCTTCTTGCTTTACTGGCTGCCCCTGTCCCGCCTCTGCTGCACTGGTCCCCACTGTGAAACAAGGATGTAGAACCGTCCTCTATCCGGGCACAGGGAGAGTGTTGGTGGGGCCCTGAGTCTTGTGTGTACTCTCTGCCAGGAGAGACGCAGAAGCTGGAGACCGTGTGGCTCTCGGGGATCTGCCAGAACGAGAAGAATGAGGTGATGAGCAGCAAGCTGGACATCGACAACATGGCGGGCGTCTTCTACATGCTGTTAGTGGCCATGGGGCTGGCCCTGCTGGTCTTTGCCTGGGAGCATCTTGTCTACTGGAAACTTCGCCACTCAGTGCCCAGCTCACCCCAGCTGGACTTCTTGCTGGCTTTCAGCAGGGTAGGTGCCTGCCTCTTCCTACACAGGTCTCGGTGTTAGAGACAACAACCCAGCCGGCTGTGGACCCATTTACAGATATCAAACTGAGATCTTGGGAAGAGGTATGGTTTGCCAGCAAGGTGGGGCTTTGAGACCTCCGTGCCACTTGCTAGAAAGTGTGGAGAGAACTTTCATTCATCTGCCGAATAGCACATTGCCTGACACACCGGGAGCACACAGTAGGGGAGTTTAAAAGATGTTTCTGAGAACATGGTGGGGGTCAGTGGTGGCTGGTCCCTGCGAAGAAGGCTCAGCTCATGGCCTGTCTCTCCTCTTGTAGGGCATCTACAGCTGCTTCAACGGGGTACAGAACCTCCCCAGCCCTGCACGGCCACCCAGCCCGGACCTCACAGCAGGCTCGGCCCAGGCCAGTGTGTTGAAGATGTTGCAGGCGGCTCGAGACATGGTGAACACCGCGGATATGAGCAGCTCCCTGGACCGCGCCACACGCACTATAGAAAACTGGGGCAGCAACCGCCGAGCACCTGCTCCCACCAGTTCGGGCCCACGGTCATCCACCCCGGGTCCTCCGGGACAACGGAGTCCCAGTGGCTGGGGGCCTCCCGGTGGGGGCCACACACCGCTAGTGCGCAGGGCCCCAAGGCCTCCCGGCTGCCCCGCTACGTGCGGGCCGCCTCTGCCTGAAGTGTCCCGAGCACCCTGCAGGCAAGCTTGGGATGCGCGGTGGCCGGTGCGGGTCAGGCACCCTGGGCAGCACCTCTCGGCCTCCGAGCGGCGCGCGCTCCCGGAGCGCCCCCTGTTGCCCGCACGCTGTCACTACAGCTCCTTCCCCCGAGCTGAGCGATCCGGGCGCCCCTACCTCCCGCTCTTCCCGGAGCCCCCAGAACCCGACGACCTGCCCCTGCTCGGGCCGGAACAGCTGGCTCGGCGGGAGGCTCTGTTGCGTGCGGCCTGGGCCCGGGGCCAGCGTCCTCGCCATGCTTCCCTACCTAGCTCGGTAGCAGAAGCCTTCACTCGATCCAGCCCGCTGCCTGCCAGGTGCGTCGGTCACGCCTGTGCCTGTCCCTGTCCCCAGAGCCAGCCATCCTGCAGGCACTTGGTTCAGGCACAGTCGATGCGGTTGCCGTCCTACCGGGAGACCTGTGTGGAGAGCGTACCAGCAGGGGTGGCCACCTGGCAGCCCAGACAGCACGTCTGCCGGCACAGCCATACCCACCTGCCATTCTGTTGTGGGGCTGTCTGCCGTCATCCTCTACCCTGTGCCAGCCACAGTCCCTGGCTCGTTGGCACCTGGGAGCCTCCATTACACAGAGGCAGGACCCTGGGACTAGGGACAGGCTACAGGGACAGTGGGGTGCTGGAAGAGGTCAGTAGGGACGCTTGTGGGACACAAAGTTTTCCGAGGTCCTGCACCTGGAGGCGAATCTCCAGCCTGGAATCGGAAGTGTGAGGTGCCCACAGGCCTGGTTCCTGCTGGATCGGATTTCGTGGCTGGGCTTGGCCATGTTTGGTGGGCAGGCAAGTGGTGGGCTTCTCTGGCTTCTCCTTTGAAATCCTGGCCACGGAACCCCAGTGAAGGCGATGTCTGCCATGGCCAGCTTGTGATCGTAACCGGCTCAGGTCCTGGTGTGGGCTGGGATCTTGCTCAACACACAACTTTGCAGTCACAGGGAGTAAATGGGTCCCTATCCTGGTGCCAGCCAGTTCCTAGTTGTGAACTGCTGTGGCTTTGGGTTGGGGACACAGAAAATGGAACCGGAGAAGGGGGTGGGGCCATCCCACCCCTTGCTCCAGGAGGCTGGAATTTCTTCTCATTGGAGCATTAAAGCGATGTTTTACAGCCCACTTGGTCCAGGCTGCCTCATTCTACATTCCGGAGGGTGCCCAGTACAGCCTCAGGTGTGTTCTGGGCTAGACTTTTGCTTATAGCACACGGACAGCTCCACCTAGGGAAGCCTTAGCGCTTCAGGGGTGTCCTAGAGCAAGGTAGGAATAGATGAGGCTGGGGGAGGGGGAGGCTCCCAGAAGCATAAGCCATTTGGTATTCAGGGCCAGTTCCACCTATTCTGAGACAATTCAGCTCAGTATGGGGGCTCTGGGGGTGATGGATTGAGTTCATCACTTGGTCTCCCTGCAAAGGGAGGCCCTTGCTGGCAGGGAGAGCGGCTGTCTTGACTGGCTAAGGAGACCTCCCTGGGAGCCTGACAGTGTCACAGCGGTAAAGGCCACAGAAGGTCTGTTTGGGGAGTCTGCCAAGCTTGCCTGGGGCCTAGCCCATGGTCTCTGGAACGTGGTCATAGGTACCATTCTGCGTCAGGCATGGTTCAGCCTCACTGTGCTGAAACTTCAGGTGGGACAATCTGCCCATCTGTCCAGCACCCCAGGTTCCCTCTGGGGTTCTCAGCAGAGGACCTTGCATTGTCACATAACACTGGTCCTGGGGACCTCTGCAAGGACGGCTTTCGCAGCCTTTCAAATTTCCCTGTCAGCAGTTACATCTGTTCTCCAGCGACTGTCAAGGGAGCGAGCGTCGGTAACCGCTCCAAACGTGAAAAGCATTACTGGGCTAGGCAGACCCTTCTGTACTGCTAGGATGTCAAGCTGGGGTCATGCTGTCCTCTATAGATTAGGTGGGCTGGACACTGGCAGATATTTCTTCCACGTGACAGAGGGAGGCAAAGTTAGGGAGGGGAGTGCTGGGTACAGCGCCCCCTGGAGCCCAGTGTCCTCGGCCACAGTTGCTCATGCCGCCTCTTCAGCCTCCAACACCACTGCTTGGCTGGGGGCCACTATAACCGTGCCTTTTTAGTTTTGTTTTAGGGAAAATGGCAAGGTCAGATACATTTCTGTCATGGTCAGAGTCGGACCACCCTAAGAAGGGGTAGTGCCCCTTTATTATGGTCGCAATCACTTACTGCCTTAGGGCTGCTCACAAGGTGAAACCAGGAATCAGCAACAGGTGGAGATGGTGAGTCTAGGTGAGGACAACGCTGCTCCCAGGAAGGGAGCTTGACATTGGACACCCCCCCCCCCAGACAGTAGTGGCAGGGCTAATTGACACCCTTCAGTTTCTGGATCTGGGTCCTTGTTTTCCCATCCTCCTGAGTCAGGTTCTGTGTGCACCTGTGAGAGAAGGTCGTGCCCGGTGAGTCTGGGAGGAGGCGGGAGGTTGAGGCTGCTCTGCTTGCTGCCCAAGATCATTAATAACCAAGAGCTGGGAAGATAATTAAGAGTCAAACGTGGAACCGAGCCTGCTGGTGGCTCCAAGGAGGGCTGGCCCAGGTGCCAGCAACCTGGTTCTTTTCTAGGAACACACAGAGGGGCAAGAGGGTGTAAGGATAGATGTCTCAGCTTCTTGCTCCTGGTGGAAGTGTCCCTGGCTCTCTCGTGCCTCTAAGAGGAGGTAGAGAGCCCGTGGGGGGGGGGGGAGGAGAACTATGAGATCATGGGAGAGAAAGCGGCTAACACGATGCCCTAACAACCCCCACCTTCAATGCTGTTTTTTCCTTTTGATGCGACATGCAAAAGCAAGGCCCTGCCACTTGTCTCACAGTGGGACATGCTTCCAGTCTGACCCAGTTCCCTCCTGTGGCTGCCCTAGCTGCTTCCCTCACTTGTTTTTAGCCAACAGCTCATATGCACATCAGCGACCGTTTCCCAGAGAGCCAGTGCTCAGAAACGGGGGTGGGGGTGGGAGAGACATGGCATTTCTAGCCACGACCCTCTGGCTTTGCTTATCTTGCTCTTTACAAGTGGAGGGCCGCCCTCAAGGTTCCTAGAAGACTAGGGAACCACAGCCAATCCTTGTCTTCCACAAACCCTCCTACAGCGGCTACAGGACAACCATTTTTGGTAGGAGGTGATAAAGCTAGGCAGTCTCTGGTAGGCTCAAGAGAGTCCTCTCTCTCGGTCCTGGGTGAGCAGTACGGTAGCAGCTGACGAATGACTAAGGAGACAACAGTCGGTGGTAGCAGCTTTATTAAGGACTTTGGTGCTGGGCTAAGTTCAGTCCTTTCGTTCCCATGACCTACGACCAGAAGGTACCTAGAAGAGGGACGGTTACAGATGCTTACTGCTTAGGGGCCACAGGGTCTGACAGTATGGTCCTCACCATGGACCCAACACTGTGCCAGGCATGCAGCATGCCCCCGGGAGAAAGGTTGGCAGGGCTTGCCTGCAGCCTGGCTATTGAAAGCCAGTCTCTCAGTGGCCCCTGGCAACAGTCGGTATGCAGGGCCCAGCTTTCTTCTGCTCCTGGGTCTGGAACCACTGGCTACTTCTCTTTGGGTCCCCAAGGCAAGCACTGCCTGTTGCTGAGGCCGCTCTTGGTCCCATGTGGAGAGGACAGCTGTGTGGCCTTGGGCCTGGCCCGGTGCCCACTGCCACTTTTTGTCCCTCAGCAGTGCCTCCCAGCCTGTCACCTGCCATCTGGCCCAGCTACCGGCCTCAGGTGAGGCGTAGCCAGAGCTCCTGGCACTGTGTTCCAGTGCTCAGCTGGGTCTGGTGCTTTGGTGGAGCATGCTCACTTCTCCTTGACCTGGCCTGCCCCTGGGACTGGTCAGGAGCGATGCAGAGATGGCAGTGACGGCTGCTGAGTTGGAGGCTTCCTCCAGGGAGACTCGGATGTGGGGCCAGCCTGGGCTCCTCTGCTGTCCTCCCGGCCACTAACCTCAGGGCCTCTTAGCAAACAGACATCTTGGCCTGGCCTATCACCTTACCCGGGGGATATAAAACACATTTAATATGCTTGATGCCTGTGGGGGAACAGGTGACACCCACACCCAGGAATGGTAAGCCCTTCACATCCTCTGTGCCCCAATGTTCTCTGAGAGGCAGTGGCCTGGTGGGGTAAAGAAGGTGACCTCATGTGACTTCTAGTCGACCAGTCAGTAAGTAAGTAGGTGGAGATGAAAGAGCAGAGAACCCAGACGGGCAGTGGGGAGGGCTTGGCGTCAGTGGTCGCTGGGTCCCTCCCCTCTCGGCTGGGGCTTCCCTAACTTAACTTGGAGATGGAGGGGCACATTCCACTGCCATGTGTGGCTCCAGATTGCCACATAAATCAACCTGGGCTTTATGATGCTAATAAATTTTCCACCAAAATTTGGTTTGGAGCCTGGGGGCGGGATGAGGTGTGTGTGTTGCAGGAAGATGATTTAATTTGCTTTGTCCTTAAGCAAGAGGGAGAAGGATGAGTACAGATGTTTTAATTGAGTTCTCCTCAAGCAGCCTGAGCACAGGAGGATGTGCAGTCTCCGCCCTGGCCCTGCTTCTGTACCACTCTCCCCACCTGGCCCACCCTGGGGCAGGGTCTCCTAGGAAGATGCTGCAATGGCAGGTGGCTGTAGAGATGTCTGTTTTCCATGTGGACGGGCAATGACGATGCTTAAACAACTACTGACGTGGGACCGCGGTGAGAAAGCTGTGGACAGGCCCATGGCGACCTAGAGAGTCTTAGAGGCAGGGATGCTGGGGCCAGAGGTAGCAGGTGCTGCCAGCAGGTCCCCCATTCCTTGCAGGTTCTGCACAGACCCCTGGGACCTGGGACATCCAACAGCACAGCGGAGCTCAAGCGCTGAATATGGCAGAATGTGGAAGGGAAGGGGGAGCTGGCGCAAGTTCCCTCATGAGGGTGGAGCAAGGCACTGAAATCAAGAGGGAGGGGCAGTGGTCTGAGACCTTTTAACCCCAGAGGCGGGTCTGTCCAGGAGAGGCAGGACTAGGCCCAGGGTTGGGGCAAGTCAGGGTCAGGAGGGATCCCTGGTGCCCGAAGCAGAAGGCACATCGAAAATGCAGTTCATTAAATCACTCCTCATTCCAAGGCATTGGGCCTAGTGGGTACATGCGTGACCAGCTAGGAAGCGGCTGGGGACCTGGCCTCCTTCATCTCCTCCAGCTCCAGGATAGCCAGCCACCTGGAGCATCTGGCCATGGCGCACCCATGACCAGGCTCCTAAGGGCACCACCTTAGTGTTGCAATGCAGCATGGGAGCAAGCTGGGCTGCAGAACACAGGCTTGACCTTTTGCAGAGGGGCACTCTGTTTTTTCCCTGCCGTAAGTCCAGGCCAGTTAGCCACTATGGTGTGGGTGGGTGGTGAGGGCAGCCTCTCAAGTAGTGCCTTGCACTCCAGGAGGTCCCTGGGCTCTGAAGGAGAAGCAGCGGAACAGAGGGTCCCTGAAAGGGTTTTACACCCCATGGAAGGGATGCTTCATCTGTCTGTCACACCAGAGCTGGCACCCACAGCAAAAGCTCTCACAGCTCTTGTCTAGGGACCTTGGTGCCAATTAGCACTTCCTGTCCTTGTCACCAGAACTGGCCAGGCCTCCCACAGGAGGAATACTTAGCAACTTTCAGGACCATCACAAGCAGGCCAGGCTTGGAGAGCCAGGGTCTGGGACTCGCCTTTGAAGAGGCAGCAGCTGCTAGTGGACGGCCGCGGATGCAGGAGGGGTCTGGGGTCTAGTATAAATAGCAGCAGTGCCCACGCTGTCTCCCCCACAGCCTCCAGGGGCAGGAGTGGAGGAACATGTGTGACAGACTGGGTCCATCGAAGAATCTGGGGACAGCCACGTTCCCAGGCAGGTGGGCTGTCCTGCAGGAGAAGACACCAGCTGGAGATGTAGTAGGACTTCCCCAAGAGCCCCAGGCTAGCATGCTCACGGAGACCTGGGTGGCAGCTAAATCCTGATGAGGCGAGGAGGCCGGGACTAGGCTGGCCCTGCCTCCTGTTGTCAGACACGTCCTGCCATCAGAGCTGGGTCTCATTGAGGACAATGTTGGCTGTGACAAAGAAGAAGCAGAAGAAAGCCCACAGTAGCACAAAGGCCACCCAGAAGGTGTGGCGGAACGGGGACCTATGCTTGTTGACAGTTCCGTAGCCGAAGGACAGCTGGGTGTCCTTGCGGCAGAGGTACACCAGGAAGGCAGGGATGACATACTGGATGCCAGTGCCTGCGTAGGCTCCTGTGATGCCCACCAGGGACTCCAGGTCATGGGTGCAGAAGGCTACCAGAATGGGAGGCACCAGCGTGATGGTGGGAAACACCACACGGTCTACCACCCACGGGTACGTGCCACCCTCACGGTGAAAGAGTGTCTTCCAGTTGTTGCGCAGGGTCACCGCAATGATAGGGAAGTTGGTGCTGATGGTGAACACGGGGAAGAGGCCCAGAAAGAATCGGACGGCAGTCAGGCCCACAACGTCGCACCTTGCAAAATTGAGGGTGTACATGTCCATGAGACTGTCGCCACGGAAGCAGAAGATGGCCGTGAAGGAGAGAAGTCCGTAGAAGGCCAGGATCAATGCGTAGTCCAGGAACACCAGGCGTGTGATGTGGCGCTTGGAGGAGATGGGGGTGATGAGGGATGGCAGGGAGTGCTGGCACATGAAGGAGTAGACACATACCCCAAACAGGTTCCGGACTCCCAAGAAGTTGGCCAGGGGTGGGTGCCCCTCTCCTTGCCTGTTCCCGATGCGCACCAGGGCCAGCACAATCATGATGGCGAAAGCTGCAAGACAAGGCAGGGGTCAGTCAGAGAGGATGAACCGCCTCACCCCTCACTCGCTGCTCTGCAGGGCTGTGCCCTGAAGGACTGGAGCCCAGGGCAAGGAACCGCAAAACCCCCCACAGCTGTGCAGGAGCTGCCGAGCTTGTGAGGGTCCTAGGAACCCACGTTCGATTCTCCCTCCTCTTCCCGGAAGCAGGGGCCTGGGCATGATCCAGAGACAGGAGAAACTGGCCCGACAGCAGGACAGTTCAGCCTGGTAAGGAGCTACCAGCTCCCTCCTCGTCCTTCAAGGACCCTCCCAGGGACTCTGTCAGCTTCTGGTCAGGGGCAGACTTAGCCAGTACTTTCCCCTCTCTCTTCCTTGGTTTTAAGGTTCCGTGCCTGTGGAGCCAGGTGTGGGGAGCCCAGGGACGAAAGGCACGGCACATTTGCGGGGAGACGTCCTCTTCAGCAGAGGTCCCCGGCTTCATGTGGGTCAGAGAGCAGGAAGGCTGGGAGCCGTGTGTGGGAAGTAGTGAGGGGTCAGTCACTCCACGGAAGAAAGGGCACCAGAGAGCCGTGCTGGAGACAGGCGAGTCTCAGGACTGTCCCAAGGGTGGCAGCAAACGCCATGTGCTCAGTTCTGGGCTTCGTGTCACTTAGGGGACAGGAAATTTGCCGAGGAAGGGCGTCTATGACCTTATCTGCTCAGAGCAACCAGGCTAGAGGCAGCTTGGCTTTCCCCGGCAGCCTCTCAGGCCCTCCACCCGTGGACTGCTCACCAGCCTGGCTTCTAGAACCCGAGTCCCTGAAGATATCCAAGCAGAGGACTCACTACAGCACCACCAATGGCCATGGGCGCCTGGCAAGCATCTTACCAACAAAGATGGTATTTCTAGATCTCTCTGGCTTCTGATATCTACCACTGACATCACCCAGACCCCTGTCTCTGTCTCCATTTTGAATTTATATATCCCTGTTGTCTCTATTCAGAACAGGTCTGACGCGTCCTGTCAGTCGGGGACAAGTCCACAGGGCACACGACACTCCTTTGTAAGTGGTAGGGGCTATAGAAGGGGCTGACATGTCCCATCTGGGAGCTCCATCAGAGAATTGGGGTCTCTTCCTCAGTATGAACCTGAGGGCACCAGTATTGTCCCCCTTAGGACACCGGTGCACTCCTTTGTTCTTGGGAGAGATTTTTCTGCAGAACCCACAAGAAGCCAGGCCAATGTCTCCTCCCATAACGACACCTGGGAGTGGGCTCAAGTCCTTTATTACTTTTAATCTGAGCTGCCTGGTGTGGTAGTGTGGGGGTGGGGGGAGGAGAAGCGGGAGGGGAGGAGGGAGCTCAGACTGTGAAAACTGCCAATAAAGAAGATTTGTTTCAGCTCACCCAGCCGCTCGATTCCACCCGCCTCCTGCTCCAGGGCACCACAAATCTTTCCAGCCCTGGCCAGTCAAAGGGAAGCAGCAGCCTAGTTCCTCTCTTAGCCTCGGCCCATGACCCTAGGAGCCACCCCTGGGGTGTAGGCAGCTTCAGGAAGTATACTGAGGCACAGGGTGGGGGGACTTCACCCTACAGGGGTGGCGCCTCGTGTGTTAGTGAGGGCCCGACCTCAGCACAGCACAGCAATGCTGCTCAGGGGCCTGGTAGCTGGCTATTCCGGAGCTGGGAGCAGGCAGCTGGGCCACTGTTTTGGGAGGGGGGGGGCACTGGATGAGGGCCAAGGGAGTAGCTGCTGTTGCAAAGCAATATTTAAATTGTGTTTTGCCATCACCGTTTGGGATGCCACCTGTGACCTGGCCCTGGTCCAGGTCTTGGCCACGGCCAGCATCAATCTGGAAAGATGCCAGTGGAGAAATCCTGCAGCTGTCTGTTGCATGACCTTTGCCTTGGGTCTTTCGAGTGGGCAAAGAGGCGGGAGGAGGCTGGCTGTTGAGGTAGATGCCAGCACTTCATGGCTGGGTTCCGCCTCAGGTGCTGGCTACTCTTTTCTGTCCTCTGGGAGCAGCCGCAAGTCCCTAAGAGCTGTGATCAGGCTCTGGCTGCTTGTTCAGGGTGGCCTCCTGGACGACTCTGGCTGGGCTTCCCCCCCTCCCCCCGGACAACTCTGGCTGGGCTTCCCCCCACCCCCTTACTGAAGAAAACCCAAGGCTGCTCCAAGCAGCAGGTTCCCAAGTGATGACCCTGACTTTGTGTGTGTCTACGTGCCTTCCACCTCTCCAGCATCGACTTCTGACCTGGTCTTCCAGGGGCTGCATCCTATGTCAGGTTTTTCTAGAACCTTCAGGATGGCCTATAAAGGTGTGGCTGTTGGTTATATGCCTGCACCCCCCCCCCATAACTAGTCTTACCTGTTAATGTTATTCCAGAGACTTCACAACCCCCATAACTAGTCTCATCTGTTAATGTTATACCAGAGACTAGTGACCCACCTGGTTCTGTTAAAACCTCTTTATCCAAAACCTCTACTTCTCAGCTGGGTCTGATGGTGTAGGCCAGGAATTCCAGCTACACAGGAGGCTGAGGCAGGAGCTTGCACGGCAAGTTCAAGGCCAGTGCCTGGGCGACAAAGTGAGTTAAAGGCCAGCCTGGGGAAATAAGTGAGGTTCTGTCTGCAGATAAAAGTAAGCGGCTAGAAAAAACGGCTCAGCAGCAGTTAGGAGCACCGGCTGCTCTTCCAGAGGATGTGAGCTCGGGTCTCAGCACACAGCTGCCTGTAACACCAGTTAGGTGCCCACATGTGCCACACACTTACAGACATTTACATATAAATAAAATTTAAAAATCTTTTAAAAAATTAAAGAGGGCTACAGTTGGAGCTCAGGGATAGACTGCTTGCTTAGTGTGCACAGGGACCTAGGTGTAAGCCCCAGTAAAACACACACAAACACACACAACACACACACTTGCTCAAAACTAAATCTGTTCTGGAGGGCCATTTTGTGGAATGGCAGCTTCTTCTTTGTGTGTGTGTGTGTGTGTGTGTGTGTGTGTGTGTTTTGAGACAGGATTTCTCTGCGTAGTCCTGGCTGTCCTGGAGCTCACTTTGTAGACCAGGCTGGCCTCAAACTCAGAGATCCGCCTGCCTCTGCCTCCCGAGTTCTGGGATTAAAGGTGTATGCCGCCACTGCCCAGCGAATGGCAGCTTCTCAATTATCATCCAAAGGGAACAGGCTCGTTTGTGTTCCCTTTCTCCCTCCCTCTCCTTAGCTACACTGGGCACTGTCTGCCAAAAGTGGGGACAGCATAGAAAGGCCACTGGATCAGGCTGGGGAAGAGTGCAGCATCCATATCTAAGAGAGGAGGTCATGCGTGGGGGCCTACTGTGCTCTGGGCCCAGTGAACAAAAGGAGACACACCTTCACACCAGGAGAAGGCAGGAAGCTCTACACACGTGTGCCCAAAGAACTCTCAGGGGTCACAGGTGGGCACCCTTGTTGGGGCAGAGGCCTGAGGGAGAGCCCTAGCCAAGCCCAAGAGACTCCCCACCACCTCGAGCACACTCAGATGGCACTGATCCCTGGGAACAGGAAGGGGAGGGGAAGCATGTTAGTCTGGCTTCCAGGCAGTTAAGTTCAAAAAAATATTTATGTACTTAACTGGACAACACTAAGAAGGGAAAGAAGTCGCGGGCTCCAACCTGCAGAGGTCCCAAGACGACCAGGGTGCAAGACTAAGCCCCACTTTCCCGGGACCAGACTCCTTTGTCCCTGACGCTTCCTGACTTCCTGGGTACCCAAGGAGCAGAGTTCACGGGCTATCTCCTCGATTGATCGCCCCGTCCCTGGAGAGATGGCTGCTCAAAAAACTCATTAGGTCTGCTAATAAATCAAGGTGAAATAAGACGACAGTCTGTGAGCGACAGACAGTGCGGGAGGCGCGGGGGAGACTGCTGTGCCACCCTTGCTTACGGCCGCTGCTCACTTCTAGCTGCCACAGAGGCACAGCCGGACATGGAGGCGAGATGGTGAGGGGTCCCCAAACATCCAAGGTGTCCCCATCAGAGACACCCCTGGGTGGCAGGGCCAGGTATCCTGAGCTAAGCTCTGAGAAGCCATATCTGCATGCACCTGTTTTCCACACCGAAAGTCACACTCCACGGGGTGTCGAGAAGCCAGGAGGAGTCAGGGAGAACTCAGAAGGCTGGTGAGAGCATCACACCAGGTCACATGGGGATAGTAGGCCTGGGCAGGTCATCTGTACAATGATGGGGGTGGGGGTGAGGGCGCAGGAGACTTTTATTATTTTGAGAAATAACTGTGCTGGTTTGGCATAACCTGAGACTTGGCCTTGACTGTCACTCACTCAACAGTCTCACTGAGTGTCTGCGGAGTGCCGGCACTATTCTGGTCACTCAGGGGTAAGTGCACAAGAGAGACATGGGTCCTGTCCTTGTGAGGTCCAGAGTGCGGGAGCACCACCAGGGTGAAGGTACCAAAGACGATAGAGAACTGGTTAGTGGTCGCCTTAGTGGCAGGAGGGATGATGACATCCCTGTGCTAAAAACGGTCCAAGTTCAAGGGTAGAAGCCCACTAAGGAGAGGGGAGGAGAGGCAGGTGCCAGGTGCCAGAAGGGAATGTAGGGACCTTCCTGGCTGCTCTGTTCCCCAGGTCTGTGGCTGCTGCGCCTGCTCTTGGTTTGGAGAGGAGGGTTCATTGCAAGGCAACGATGAGGATGAGACGCCAGCTGCCCCTCCGGCTTCCAGACTCCCATCCCTGACTCTGCCTGAAGCCATGGGCTGCTTTCAGGCAGACTTCTGACAGCTGATCTAAGTTCGACAAGCTGGCCTCGCCATATTGATTCACCTTGAGGCGCAGCTCACTTCTCTTTGAAGGGAGGGAGGGAGGGAGAAGAAGGGAGGGAGATACAGAAGGCAAGCCATTATCTGAGGAGCTGAGACAAAAACAGGTGCTGCTCCTTAGCCCTGAGTGGCCAGCTGGGAGCGATGGTACATTTCCCTTCCCTGTGTGGGGAGGTCAGGGCAAAAGCCACAGGGGCACCAGGCCACCCTAC